TCTGATCAAGGATCTGAGTCTTGTTATTGCTGTGACAAAAACATAAAGATGCAAGCGATTTATGAATTAATTTAATTGAGGGCTTCCTTACAGTTTTGGAGGGTGGGAGCATGACCATCATGGTGAAGAGCACGGCTGCAAGCGAGCCAGCACAGTACTGGAAAAGTAGCTGAGAGTTTGCCTCTGATCCACAGGCAGCAGGCAGTGGGAGGAGTCCAGCTGGAATAGACCAGGCCTTTGAAACCTCAAAGCGTGCCGCACCTTCTCCAGCAAGGCCAATCCTAGTCCTTTTCAAAAAAGTTCTACCATCTGGGGGCTGTCGTGAGAATTTTGATCTCTTTAAAAACACAGAAGCGTTATAGGAATTATGTTTTTTTGTTTTCATTCCAGGTGTGTGATATGGAGCTGCTTCAGAGTGTCCGCAGAGGCAAACTATGATTTGCCTCATGCTTTGGCCGGGGTGTGATTTTGCCAGCTGCAGATAGTTTCTGCGAGTGTATGACGTTTGGAATTCTGGAGACCCTTGAGAGAGTATAACAATGCTAGAGTCCTGTGAGGGGCTATGGCAGATGCAGCTTCCCAGCTGCTGCTCCTGCTGCTGCTGTTGCTAGTGGCTGCTCCTGTTTCTATTGCTGGTTGCAAATAGTATGATGATGAAGATCAAAATTGCCCTCAAGGAACTCGACGCCCCCAATCAACAGGAAGTAGTCTAACAATATGGATGCCCATTTCCCCTCTAACCTTCTTTCTCTCCTACCTAGTGTTGGGGGGTTGGAAGGGTAGTATAAGGATGAAGAAGGGTGGTAGAAATAGGAACCCATAAAGTAGCCAAAAGCCTTGCTACAGGGGACCAAGCATTCAAACATCTGAGCCTCTAGGGGCCATTCTCATTCAAACCACCACGACCAGATAAAACAAAGCAAAACTAATAATAATAAAAAAAACTGAAGTAAACATTACTTAGTAGTGAAAGACTGAGGTTTTCCTCTGAGATGAGAAGCAACAGAAGGGTGTTTACTGTCATTTGTGATTAACCTCATAATGAATAGAATATTTATATGGAAAAAATAATCTTGATCTGTCTATACTTTAATCCCAGATAAACTGATGATTTTAATGTAAAGACAAAACTAAAGCTTCTAAAAGATAACAGAATTTCTTAGAATAAGTCTGTATTTATGGAATCCATCACAAAATGTATAATTCTATAAAAAAGATCAATAATTTGAACTACATTAAAATTAAAACTTTTATTTATCAAATTTTCATAAAAAGATTTAAAAGGTGAATAATGAATATGAATAATTTCATAATAAATTCTTAATGAATATGAACAAGAGCCATCAAAGAAAAACTTAATAGAAAGGAGATTTCAATGCAAGGAATATTATCCAAATGCTTGATGAGCTCAACTTTATTGTTGTAAGGGGAATGCAGATTACAACAATGCAAAACCACAAGGTAATAGGCTATTTTAAGTAGGCCTCAATGTTGCCAGGTGGATGGTGGCACAGGCCTTTAATCTCAGCACTTGGGAGGCAAAGGCCGAAGGATCTCTAAGTTCAAGACCAGACTGGTCTACAGAGTGAGCTCCAGGACTTCCAAAGCTATACAGTGAAACTCTATCTCAAAAAACCAAATATGTATATGTATGTATGTATGTATGTATGTATGTATGTATGTATGTATATGTTATCACAAATGACGTAGATGACATATAAGTATATATCATTTATATATAAATATATAAAGTTTTAAATTTATATAAATATATAAAAATGGTGTGTATATACATATATATATGTATACATATATCTATATCAATGTACAGGTTTTTATTAAACATTCCTAAATATTTCTGTAAAAGTATGTCAAGTTTTTATGAAATTAATAGTTAAACAGATAGAGAGGTAAAACATATTATTCTCTATAATGAGGGCAGGCTTCTTGCAATCAGTTGATCATCTTACTAGTAAAGGACTGACCTAGGGAAAGGGGGAGAAGAATTCTTCCAGATGACCATTAGCTACAAACTTGAGCATCAGCCTTTTCTGGACCTCTTGATTGCTCCTGTACACTGTCTATCCCTCTGTTTCTAGGCCTGCCTCTTTCTCATACATACACACACCCTGTCCAGCCTGTGTCTCCGGGTAAATTCAATACAAGCATCTGTCAGAAGATGACAATACATTGTAGGAACCTTATGAAGCAACGGTGATTCTTATAATTTGTAGGCTGGAGAGCTGGTTGGTGCACCCACTTTTGGATACCTGTTCATTAGCAGCTACTAAAGCTGAGGATATGAATAGCATAAGCATTTCTACACCAGACTTTGTATCTTATAGTTTCACCAAAAAAAAAAAAAAAAAAAAAAAAGGTTTTCCTAAACATGTCCATCACAAGTGGGATGAATGAATGAATGACATACTAAATCATGCAATGACCATCTCACAGACACAGTTTGAATGAAAAACGTCAAACACAAAGGAGAACCATAACTCATGACGCTTGAAATTAGGAGAGGAGGCAGAGAAGAAAGGGGGAGGATTTGAAGTACTTTCTCATTAGTCCACTGATTAGTCTGAATGGGTTCTAATTACAAGGGTGCACTAAGTGTTTGAAAACCTGTCCAGCTTTCTCCTGATGCATTATACACTGCTCTGCATATATTTAGAATTCAATAGCCCAGGGTTATTTGGAGAGTATACTTTTATTACTTTGAGGCTTCCTCTTCATAGTTTGTAATCCTAGTTCCCTTGCCATAAAGCAGCGAAAGGAAAGCTACTTGTATATTTTAAATGTAAATAAATTATGGTATGCACCTCACAAGATATATGCTCAATGAATGGTAAATGATGTCCTAGTCTAAGGGAACGACCTCTTTTTATGTGTTACATACTCAGTATGCTCTATTGTGATTTATTCTTACATCCAAGGAAGAAGAGAATGTTATATAACTTTACCAGGAGATGTAAAGAAACATCTGTTCACTCTATAAAGGCACCCATACAGACAGGGGGAAAAAGATTTCTATTCAAGTCTAGCTTAATGAGCCAATGGACTTATTGTGCTTACAGAGGTACAGATGAAAAGTTACTTACATGAATATCAGTGCCTCAGAAACAGATGCACAATAGGAAAGTACATCCTGAATGAGCATTCAGTAGTAAAAGCATCATCCCTGGAACTCCCTACCCAGCTTGCTGGCAAGTTGGCTGATAGTCTCCTCTCCCCATCAGTTGCCAACTGCTTATGTAATGTCGGGTGCCAAAACGTTTTAAATACAAAATCCCAGATGTTTGATTTTACCAATGAAGACTCAGGAGCCAGATGTTGGGGTGAAAGCCTATTAGTGAGAGGCCAAGAAAGTATCCAGTCGACATTCCTACTCAGCATACATCCTAGAAGGAAAAGCCCTTTCTCCTCCATGGTGCTTTAAAAAAACTTCCAATTCAGTGTCTCTCCTTCCTGTGTTCACTTATGTTCACTCCCTGTCGATTAGTTGCTTGCTCCACCTCTTGACCTGGGGCTAATATATTTAGCTCTTGCTCATAGAAATCATGTGGGTTAAAGATGTGTGTTAGGGCTGAACCAAAACAAACTGCTTTAGGAATCTTGTGACTTTCCGTTTTATTTACTTCTAGAGACTGGTGGGTTTCTTTTACTTCCTGAGCCTTACAGAGTCTATATTTATGAAGGAAAGTTTCAGTTTGGAAGAAATGGCATGGCAGAGGCTCAGGGAAAGAAATGGTTTGCTGGAGAAAGCCTAGCTGGCCAGGAGCTAGAGCGGATCTGACTTCGGCTGTAAGGTCTCTGTTCTCTTTGTCAGGTATCTCTCCAGGACTAAGGCCATTCTTTGGCAGCAAAGGGTTCTTGTCTTCTCCACAAAGCTTTCCAACTTTATCTGATTAGCTCTCCAGACTGATCCAGTGTCAAGTCCTCACACTGAAATTCTTCATACACCCAACCATGAGGCTGGCCTGGTTCCAGCCTCTCACTTTCTTGATTTAGCTCATTTCCTGAGAGGAGTTTTCCCCTTCATTTTTTGCTCCCTGTTAGAAACATGTTAGAGGTGGCGAGAAAGAAATCACCACTCCAATTAAAGTGTCTGGACAAGGCAAACTTTACTCTTGATCAAGGGAGTATACTAGGAAGAATGCATTCGCTTCGATGGGGAATGTGCTTGGTTTTTATTCTAATGCAGGCGGAGGCTCTGTCTTTTCCCCATTGGCTGGGGTTTGACCTCACAATCTTATTCAGCTGGCTAGTCTGAAAAAAAAATTGGTTTATAATTTGGGCTGTGGTGGCACTCGCCTTTAATTCTACCATTCAGGAAGCAGAGGCAAATAGATCTCTGAGTTCAAGGCCAGCCTGGTCTACAGAGTGAGTTCCAAGACAGCCAAGGCTACACGGAGAAACCCTGTCTCAAAAACAGAAAAATAAAAAAAATAAAGAATTGGCTTATAGGAAATGGGGAGAGAAGGGGAAAAGGGTCACTGATCCTAGGACAAAAAGGTCACTGATCCAGGTCATCATATTCCTAGAACAGAGCACCAGGCCTTTATGTAAACCAAAGTTTTACTAAGTGGAGGGGGTTAAAACATTTGTATAAAAGTCTTACAAAGCGGGGGAGAGGAGGTAAAAGCATTTAATTCCATGTCCTACACACACATTTTATAGTATTTGATAGAAAAAAGACCATATTTGCTATTTCTTTTATCCCAGTCCCAAGTGATACTTTTTCAAATTCAACCTCCATCCCTACAATCAAGGACCTTCCCGTTTCAGTGTTCTTCTGGACTCCAAGGTCTTCACTGGAGTGGGGTCCTCTAGGACGGCCCCACCCACTCTCCCACATCGGTCCCGCCCCCAGCGGCCCTCCCCTCCCCCACTCCGCATGCTGCGTGTGGTCCATCCGCACACACCCGCTCACACCCGCTCACACCAGTCCTGCTGGGGTGGGAGCCGAGGTGGGCCAGGCCGCCTGACAGGAGGCTGAGATGGCGGCAGCAGGCAGCCAACGGCGACAACGGCAACAGCCGGACAGGCAGCGCTTGATCTGCGTGACCCGCTTCGCCTCCCACCGGTCTGGCGTGTGGCAGTTGAGGGGCCTCGGAGGTTTCGGCGGCCATGGAGGCCCAGAGCCTGGAGCCCGCTGCACCCCGGAGCCAGGCACGGGAGAAGAGCTGCCCACCAGCTCCCAGGCTGGGGTCGCCACCACCCCAGGCCCTGACTCTTCCCAGCTGCGCAGGGCAAGAGGTCAAGCAGCGCGAGCAGGTGGCCGAGGCGCGGTGGCGGGAGGGAGCCTCCTGTCAGAGGCCTGGTGCCGCCGCCATCTTGTGCGGCCTTCTCTTAGTCAGGCCTCGTGCCAGCCTTGGTCTCGGCCTTCGTGTCAACCTTTCTGTCAGCCTTCACGTCCGCCTTCCTGTTAGCCTTTGTCTCAGCCTCCGTGTCGACCCCTGTGTCAGACTTGCCATCAGCCTTTGGGTCAGCCTTGTTGTCGTCCCTTGTGTCTCTCAGCCTTCGTGTTGGCCTTTCTGCCGGTCTTTCCGTTAGGCTTCCTGTCAGCTTTCTTGTCAGCCTCGGTGTGTCGGCTCTCCTGCCAGCCTTCCTGTCAATCCTCAACACAGCATTCCAGTCGGTAGACAGCTGGGCTCGGTCTTCCTGTCAGAATGTTGGGAGCCATAAACTAGGAGAATCCCTTTAACTCACTTAATGGGGTGGCCTGCAAAAGGCCTGCTGGGCGTTTAAGATAACCCAAAGACCTGAGAAAAGTTCTTGAATGTAGCTACTTCAGTCTCTGGGAGCAATGGGAGTTCAGCGTGCTTGTTGGTTGTTCTCACTGAAACGTATTAAAACTGCTTTACAGGAGCAGGAGAGAGAGCTCAATGGGTTAGGTGCATTGGCTAATCTTCCAGATGACCCAGCTTTGGTCCCCAACACCAGGGGATCTGACGCCCTCTTCTGGCCTCCTCAGGCATCAGGCACCTGAATCTCCAGCGGGCCTGGAACTCACTATATATACCACACTGACCTGGCACTCACAGAACTCTACCTGCCTCTGCCTCCCAGGTGCTGAGATTAGAGGTGTGAACCACCATGCCCAGATGATAGGTGCCATTTGTAATGGAGATAATCTTATTTCTCCTTTGTTCATTTTTATGTCTACCATAGTCTTTTTGTCTAATTATACTGGCTAGTACCTCTAGTGCAGGGTGAATATTGGAGAGATGATGGACACCTTGCCATGTTCTTATTCTTAGGACAAATGCCGCTAGTGTTTCACCATTAAGTAAAGTACTAGTTTTAGGGCAAATACCTAAATATATTTAGAGTATGAAAGAGCGTATCTATTTTTATTGTCTTTAGTATTTTTTATTTACAGTGACTAGGATTTAAATTTTGTCAAAGGCTTACTTATTATCTATGGAGATAATAATGTTTTCTTTAAAATTAGTAATATATAACTTGATATAAATAGGTTTCCAAATATTGAACCAACCTTGCAGTGTTAAACTAAATTTCACTTTCTTGCATTGTATTATTTTTTAATATAGTGGCAGGCTTTAATACTAAGTTTGCTTAGAATGTTTTATCGATGTTCATGAGATATAGAGACTTACGGATTTTTAAATTTTCTTTACTGATTTAGATTTTGCTTCTTACGAATAATTGGGAATTTTTCCTTCCCTTTCTGTGTTCAAGAATAATTTATGAGCCTGGCTCAGTGACTCATGCCTATAATCCCAGCACTCGGGGAGGCAAAGGCAGGCAGATCTCTCTGAGTTTGAGGCCAAACTGGTCTACAAAGCAAGACCAGGACAGCCAAGGCTACACAGAGAAACCCTATCTTGAAAAACAAACAAACAAAAAAGAATAGAACATTGGAACTAGGTGGCTTGGAAGGTTTAATAAAATTCTTCTGCAAACCATCTGGACCTGAGATTTTTGTGAAATAATTTCTTAATAATTTTCTTTGTGCTGTAGAAACTGATCTGTTTACACTTTCTAACTCTGAGAGGTCAATTTTGGCAACATGCATTTCCTTAAGCAATTATACACTCCACTTAGGTTTCTAAATGTGTTTCCATTAAGGCCTGCAAAGTGATGTGTTTTAATTTCAAAAGTTTACTCATGCTTCAATGGTTATTCATATCTTCATAATTCACATCTCTGTCTGTATGTGTAGGGTTGTACTTTCTCCCTTTGTATTGACATCAATATTTGTTTATTTTAAGAACAAGATTTTTACTTATTACTTAAGCCTTTTTTAGTTTATTGCTCATTAATACCAACTTCTTACTCTTATTTTCTTTTTTCTTTCTTTGTTTCTTTCTTTCCTGGTTTCTTTCTTTATGTATTTATTTATTTGGTATACTTTCCTTTTATACTAAAATTTGGGTGTTTATTTTTTTGGTAATTTTAAAATCATTTTAATTTTTTCTTATAGATATATTGTATACTGAACATACTGCTTCCCAACCCTTACCCAGTTTCCTCTTATTTTTCTTCTTTCAACCCTTCATTTATTCCTTTAGACAGTTTTACTTATTTTCATTTAATCTATACACACATGATTTTATGTGACTCTATAAAATCTAGGAATGATAAGTGAGAGAAGACATTTAATATTTGCCTTTCTGAGACTAGCTTAATTTGTTTAATGTGATTGTGTTCAAATGAACCCATTTCTCTGAAGACAACATAACTTTATTCTTCTTTATGGATTAAAAAAAAAAAAAAAACTGCTGCTGGACACCAGGGTTCTTCCCATAACTTAGCTGTGTGAATTCTGTTGCAAAAACATTGATGTGCAAGTGTCTCTGTGATATATTAACTTGGATTTTGTTTTGTTTTTGTCTTTTTGTTTTTTAGGGGGAGGGGGAATACTCAGGAGCGGTATAGCTGAGCTATGTGGTATATATATATATATATATATTTTTTTTTTTTTTTTTGAGGAACTTCCATACTAATTCCCATAGAATTTGGACTAGTTTTCATTCCCACCAGCCATGTATAAGGATCAAGATTCCCTTTGTCTACATCTGTGCCAGAATTTATTGCTGTTTTCCTCTTAAAATTTTTGTTACACCTACCTGTCTGTCTATCTTATGTATCTATTTATCTATGTATGTATGTATGTATCTATCTATCAATCTATCTATCCACCACGTGTGTGTGTCAGATACCATATGAGTGGGTTAGGGAACAACTTATGAAAGTCAGTTCTCTCTTTCTGCTATGTGGGTCTCAACAATCAAACTCAGTTTGTCAAACTTGGCAGCAAGGGGTCTTTACCTTAGGAACCATCTTTCCAACCCCTGTTATTTTCTTAATGACTGACTAGGGTAATATGTAATATCAATGTGACTTTAATTGGAGTTTCTATGATGGCTAATGAGGTTAAGCAGTTTTTCATGTTTATTGATTTCTATTTCCTCTTTTCTGAATTGTCTGTTCCTTTAGTCAGTTCATTTGGTGTGGGGAGGTGTTTTTCTTACTGGTCAGGTTTTTGTTGTTGTTGTTGTTTTTAAATACTCTACTTATTAATCCTCTCAGACAAAGATTTCCTCTACTCTGGGGCTCTCTCTTTACTCAACTGCTCCCTTTGTTTAACAGAGGATTTTTTTTTTATTTCATAAGATTCCATTTGTTAATTGTTGGCTTTATTTTCTTGGCAACTGGGGTCTTATTAGTAACTTTTCTATATCTTTAAGTGTTTTCTTTGCTTTTCCCAGTTTCAGATCTTGTGTTAAGGTTTGCACACACTCTCAGTTGATTTTCCTTCAAGGTAGGAGATGGGATTAGTTTCTTCTACTTGTGCTTACCCAGTTTCCCCGGAACCATTTGTAGATGAAGCTGTCTTTTCTCCAGTGCTTGTTTTTTCTATCTTTGCAAAATCAATGACTAGCTGTGCTGGTTTATATCAGGACTGTCTATTCTTTTCCGTTGTTTTACATGTCTTCAGTTCCATGTTTTTGTTACTGTGATTTTTTGTCATGTGATTTTAGCCTTAGGTATGTTGATTGATAGTATCAGCATCATTCTTTTTTGTTCAGGATCGCTTTGACTCTTCTGAATACTTTGTGATTTCAAATGAGTTTTCATACTGTTGATTTCTACTTCTATGAAGGCTATCACTGGAATTTTTAACAGGGTTGTGTTGAATATGTAGATTGTGAAATCAGGCATTTCATTTACTTTTTAAAATCAGGAAGTATTTAGTATGATGAATTTGTTTTAAACACTTTTAGTACCTCCCACACATCTCAGTGTGTAATATTCCACTGTTGATTTTCAGACCTTCTATACTTTCAGTGTGTTTATTCACATTACACCGATAGTGATTAACACATTTTAAAGATTTTAAATCCTGGGACATTCCTCTTCTTTTGGTTTTGTTAGTACCTTCTAGTTTTTACTGCATTGTGGTCAGTGAATGATATTTCTAGTTCTCTACTGTCTTGCATGTTACTAGTGCTTCCTTTGTAACTCAATGACCTTTCCCCACTCCCCTCTTCCAGAAACCATGCCAGAAAGACTTTCCTCCAGAATTCCAACCCCCCTTTTACCTGAGTCTATCCCATCCAACTGCTTGCTTGGTACATTGTATGAGATTTGGTCTTTTAAATTACATACTTAAATATTTTTCCTATACTTCATGTCCTGATCTTCCTTGTTATTTATTTATTTTTGGATGCATGATGGATTTAATTTTGCTTTTGGCTGATAAGAGGCTAGAAAACCGCTTCAAGGCAGTGTCAGGAGTTCAGTAGAAATTGAAAGGCCAGAATTAAAGCCGTAGAGGTAAATGGGCAAAACTGATAACTGATTGGAAGAGAGAAGGAAGAGTTGAAGTTAAGTCTGACATACCTGCACTGGCCACTGTGTGAATAGCAAAGCTATTAACTTCTATGACCTCCTTGCTGAGCTTGTAAAACCAGAAATACAGTCAAAGAAGGCTGCCCTGAGACAGACATGCACCTAGGCTAGGCCAAAGAGCACTTGTAAAGTTCTTAGGCTTTCTCAGTCCCGGTTATATTTGATATCAAATAGATATTTATTAAATGTCTATGGGGAATAAAAATGAATTATTAATTCATTTTACAACACTTAACATCTACCATGTTGTAAATAGTAGGTCAAGTGCTAATAACAAGATGGATCAGGTGATTATTGTGTACTGCAAGGACTCACATGTGAGTAATGCATATATACGTCAGTCATTGTGGGACCTGAGACCTGAGGAAGGCTTTGATAATCAAGTTCAAGGACAGAAAGAGGCACAAGATTGGAAATCAAGAGGGAAAAAATGGAGCAATTTCTAGTGGGACAGTAGAGATTATCAAGATCCTGGGCTTTGAAGTCAAAAAGACAATCCTGGCTCTGTTAATTACGGGAAATATACTTCTGCCCATTTTAGTTATCCAGTCTGATTCTTAACTTTATCATCTTTCAAGGGAAGATAATGGTTTCTGCCTCAAGGGTTGCTGTGAAGAGAAAATGAAGGAGCACATGCAAAGCACCTAGTATGGTGTTTGGCCTAGAATATGTACTCCATAAGTGTTGGCACATTGAGCCCAGATAGATTGAAGGAACAAGAATGACTAGCAAGATGTACTAAATGTTTACTGAATGAATGAAAGACAAGATTTTTTTATTGAATTGTAGAGTGATTTTCATTTCTATAAAACCCCCAAAAGCTTTGTGGGATGATATTACCAGAGACAGATGCCTGTGACAGTTAGGCTGGTAAGCTGCCCTAAGATGTTATGGTATATAGAAAACCAAGAGACAAACATCAAGGAAACTAACATTTCAAGGAAGAGTGGTCAGGCTGGTTTCCCTGTCACTATGCTTTGGAGATAGAGCCAAATGTTGTAAATAATTAAAGATGAAGAGTACTATTTTGGAAATGTATGAATGAATAGTCTGGAAATGGTAAATAATTTGGGGATAACAGAGTCAAAGAAAGCTTCATAGCAGAGAAACCTACATGAGATTTTTTTACATGAGATTGAAATAGGGACAAGTTACAGGTAGAAAATTTGTGAGCAAATTGTTGAGAATAGATGACAATTGGCAATGACCAGGAAGAGCCACAAGTACAGCTTCATAGGGTCAGAGCATGGGCGATAAGAGCCAGGAAAAGATCTGAAGCATAAATTGGAACTAAATCCATGGTGTACCATACATTGATGCCCAGTCAAAGTACTGGAAGAAATGTTTTTCTTGTGTACATGTATTATACTTCTTGCTATATTTTTAGGTAGACTTCATGGCTCCTTCCCTTAAGGGGTGTAAGTACAGATTAATTGAGACTTATAAGTAGGAAACTGTGGGAATGATGAAAGCATACCACCCTAAAAGTTGCGGGCATTCAAAGAGAAAGAAAATACGAGCAGAGCTTCTCAAACTCAAGTTTTTATACGACATCTGCGGTTGTGTGTGCTAGTTTACTTAGTATATTTATTTAAATAGGTACTTTTCTTAGCTAGATTTCATCACAACACTATTTGTGTGCTATTTTCTAAAAGAGAAATCAATTACAAGCTATTAATGGCAAAAAATAATTTACCCAATTGTAGTAAATAGATTTTCTGCTAGAAAGTGTCTGTGTCATGAAGGAAAAGCAACATATCTTGAAGTGACATGTGGACAGACTCAGAATTCCTCCATGACTGAAGCATTGGCAAGGGAATGAGGTTCTCACAATGTGACTTAAAGAAGTTCCTTCACACCAACCAAGGACTATGCATGGAGATAACCTAAGAGCCCTGCACAGATGTAGCCCATGGCAGTTCAGTATCCAAGAGGGTTCCAATGTAATAGGAACAGGGACTGCCTCTGACATGAACTGATTGGCCTGCTCTTTAATTACCTCTCCCTGAGGGGGAAGCAGCATTACCAGGCCACAGAAGAAGACAATGCAGCCACTCCTGATGAGACCTAATTCACTAGGATCAGAAGGAAGGAAAAGAAGACCTCCCCTATCAGTGGACTTGGGGAGGGGCATGCATGCAGAGGGTGGAGGAAAGGAGGGATTGGGACAGAAGGAGGGGAGGGAACCACGGGGGGGGGGGAATACAAAGTGAATAAAGTGTAATTAGTAAAGAAAAAAAAAAAAGTTCCTTCACGCCATGTCTGTGCCTCACCCAGAATCAGGGTCCTGTGCCTCACAAGTTAGTAAATGCCATTTAGGGACACATTTTAGTTCATTCAACAAATACAACGTATTATGTACCTAGCATCTTCAAAATAGAAACTGGGTTGCCAGTGAGGAAAACACACTTCTCAAGCAAACTGTGAACTTCTGTGACAACCCAGCATGTTTTGTAAGATCCAAGAATGTTCTCTGGAAAGCTAATTGTTGCATGTGCAGAGGAAATCCAGGTATAGGGGCTGGAATGTCAGGAGTGAAGTCAGAAGTTAAGGTGGGTGAGCTAAAGGCAAGGGGGAGCATGTAGAAAGGGCTCCAGGGGCATGTGCCTGTTGTTTCTACACATCAGCCGAGTGGTGAAATGGTGTCACCTGGTGATCTGAGGCCCAACACCAAGTGTATCATCCCCCAAAGAGAGCTGACGAGACAGCTATGGCCTCTGTGGTTAGGAAGGACTTTTAGAACATGTGCTAACATCAGTGTCTTTACTTTAAAAAAAAATAGGTTTAAAGCAGAAAAATGCAGCTAAAGAGTTTGATTTCCCCATACCACTGAATGAAGCCTCCAAAATAATGAAGGAAAGGAAAAAGGTATGCTGTATTCAAGACAGTGAAAGTAATTCTGTCTTCTGAATAATTCAATTTTCTGAAATTAAAAAATAGAAGTAACTCAGCAGAAATGGAACTGAGCTTAGAAATATTTATTAACTATAAAGAATAGTCCTGGTATTTAAAGATATAAAATGCATTTTAATTAAATATAACCTGCCAGGAGATTTTTTTCAAAGCATAACCTATGTTCCACAGAGTGTAGCTAACTACTATATAGGAAGAAAATCACAGACCTCATAGTAAAGAATCCATTGGTTTCATTTGCTCTTTTCAAGGCAAAGAATGTGTGTGACATTTTAGCCAGAAAGATGACAAAGATTGAACTTTATTGCTGAACCCTTCTTACCACTGGTTGCCAAATGTCATGGTAATGTAGGCATTTTGAGCATATTCCAACAAGTGGCTGTGCTCATCTGTGACTGCCGTTATACTTTAAAGAATTTATTTGTTGAGCATGCCACGTAAATTCATGTTCGTTTGATGTCTATCCCATACAAGGTCTAAACAGCACTCAAAGCACTAACCCTTGTAACAAACATATCTGAAGTAAGCCGCAGTCTTCCACTGCTCTGAGACCTGCTTCCTTCCAGAACCATTTCCTTTTGGGTAGTGCTTACCTCTAACTCTCATGTGACACACACTCGGGTAAGTGATTTGCGTACACACCTCATCTCATTGTTTAACATGTGAACATGTTTCTAGATAACATTTAAATGCTTGTCTAACTGCTAAGTAGGAAAAAAAAAAAGATTTTGCACCTAGATGTAGCTACTTAATTTTATAGTGGGTTTTTTTTTTTTCCCTCTCCTAGTATATTCAGTCAGAATCTCTAGTAACTTTTTCTGGCACTTTACAAGGAGAAACAGTTCATTCTTAACTAAAATAAAATACATTATAAACAATCTCTGCCCAGCATAAACAAAGGACTAGAAATTCAGTATTTTTAGTGCCTTTGAAAATTGACTGTGATGAACCCACTAAGTAAGACTTTGCAGACTTTTTTTTTTTTTTGAAAGGCAGCATCTTCCAGGAGAGCTAATGTAAACACTGCAAGGAAATAACTCAAGAAAACTGAAAAAGAAGAGGTCAGACAAATTAGTGACCAATGGGGGCTGTGCTAGCTCCTCAAGTGCGTGGCTTCATGCTGATGGTGCTGACTGACAAGCAGCCAGCAATTACTCTCAACTGCTTCCTTCGAAAGGCAGCGCACTTCTGTACCAACATTCCTTAACTGTGTTTACCTTTCTAAGGTCTCAGCATGGAACAAAGTACGCAGAGTCATTTCCAGAATGATTGCAGAAAATGAAAACTACAGACACAGACTGAAGTCTCAAAATTTATCTACTGAAGTAAGACAACACATTTTAAATTTTTATGAAGGTTATATATATATATATATATATAACCTTGAATTGCGTTAGATTCCCTAACTGCCAGTATTAAAGTATAGGAACAGTTAAAAGCATAAAGCCATGTTCAGGCAGGGGATGTAGGGTCGGTCCCAAGTGCCCATGTGTGTGAGAGTACAGGAGCAAGCACTGACTACAACTTCCTGAACAGGGAACACAGATGTCCATTAAATATATGTATATTTGTATATGTATATTTGTCTTCAAACACAAATTACAAACACTCATACTGGTAAAGAACATGTTAATTGTAACATAACATAGAACAACACGTTCTATTCAGCTTCTCATTTCCTGTCCATGGACACAGCATTCGAGAGTGTAACTCATTTAACAAAGCCTGCTCCTGACACAATTTCAGCCCTAGAAAACAACCCACAAATTGGATGTTGTGCTAAAGCTGCACCAGTGTTTAGTAACTGATATTGTGGAAATTATGGTTTTCCGACCGGCAGTCTGGTTCTGCAGGTGGAGGTGCTTGCCAACAAGCCCTGTGACCTGACGTCAGTCCCCAGGAACCACATGGTGAACAGTGAAAACCAGCACGACTGGTCCTCTGTCTTCCATTTGCCTGCCACCCTCCCCATTATGTGTGCAAGCATACACACACAGACACACACACAATAGAGGGTAAATAAATATGATTTTGAAAGTTATAAAAAAAGAAATTATTGGCTTTCAGAATACTAACTGGAACAAATTAACATAACTAAGAATGAATTGATAAATAAAAATGGTTATCTCCACTCCTTAACAAGTGTGTCCTGATATAGACTTTGTCCTGTCACAATGAGAACGTCTGTGAAGTCTCAGTACTTAGTGATAACTTTGGGTCATTAAACTTACACTATTTAATTTTGTGAAGAAGGTTTTAATAGAACAGTATGGGCATGTTTATAAGTAGTGTTGTATTGGCTTAAGGGCCATAACCGATCAGCTGTGCTAGCATGCTGCACTAATAGCACCTCACCTGCAGTGACAGCATGAAGACCACTGTTCAGCCGCGTGGTGCTCCAGTTCACTCTGCTTGTTTCATAAGAATGGGGGCTGTGTTGGCAGAAGGAACACAGTCAGAGTTTCTTAAAGAATGGGCAGCGAATTGAGCCTTTTTAGAAGGCTGTCCACTCACTGTGTAACCTTAAAGCTGTCTCTTAAACCTCAGTCTCTATGAATACAAAATAATCTGCTAAAAATGATTTGCTAACTTAATATGATAGGCTTTCCAAATAACATAAATAAAATGTATATTTGAAACTTGTTATTTTACCTTAAGCTTTGAACTAGGTTACATAATTCTTTAATAAAGCTAATATGTTGCAAAACTGTAATGTAATTTTTACCTCTTAATATGTATTTGTTGACAAAAATAAGTGTTACAGACTAACTTGAACTTTCTCTTATGTTGTTTCTAGATTCGAGTTAATACAAGATAAATGTGAATCTTCCCGTGTTCTCTGGTGAGAATCCACTGAGATAATTAAGCAGAACTTCCTCCCCCCCGTATCCTGCTTTCTCTAACCTTTGGTGTGCCTGCATTATCATCTCTGCCCTCTGTCCTTCCTTAACCTCATTAAATGCTTTTTTAAATGTAAGTTTTCACTTAGGCCCCAACTCCATCACGCCTTTGAAACTACTCTCTAGTATATATATATATAATATATATATCCATGATATATATGAATGTGATATATGTATGCACACACATATATATGAGTATGTGGCTTTTCTTCTTTTATATATGTCTCTGCTCTGCTTCATTCTCTTTCTCTTTCTCTTGTTACATGCTGTCACATGTAACAAGCCCTCACTACTCCTTTCTTAACATGCTGCACTCTGTCATGGTTTTCATTCTGTGTCTCTCACTGCATTTTCTGTTCATTTTTAAGTTATTCCTTTTGTTAATTACTTGTTCTTTCTCTCTTCACATAATCACTTCCAAATAGCTTTTTGTTTTTTTATAGCCTTAGCAACTGTTTCTATCCTACCCGTGACCTCTGATATTTTCAACTATTGCACAGATACTTGAGAAGTCTATATTTTACCCTAAGGCATATATCCTCTAGCCCTTTCTTTTTAGTATTCCCTGGTTTCCCTACCACCTGGTCCCATTCCACATGTAGCGGGAGATTTCGTCCAACTTTCTGAGATTTGGAAAGTAATAGAGGGAAGACAGGTCTTAGGAAAGACAGACGTTTATAAATAAGAGAATGAGAAGAGAGCAATGTAAGGAGAGTGTATTTTAGACAAGAACGTGAGCTTGGTTGACATCAGTGAGTGGGTCTCTTACAAAGAAAATTGAAATATGCAAACTCCTCATGAATATACAATAATTTGACATTTTGTTTCTTTCCTAGCTACAACTGCATCATTTCATGAGACAACCTTGGCTTTGTGGTTGTATGTTCTTTAAATGACTATGAAATCCATCTGTTTCCAGTTGAAGGACATATTGTCACCCTATGAAATGGCCTAGGCCTTGCATGCCCATGAGAGCCACAGTTTCCCTGCACACAAGCTCATCCAACTTTTTTGTACAGTCCTGAGTTTGACATTGCTAAATCTCTCAAAGTTTCAAATGTTAGTTTACACAACTTAAATATACCACCAAATGGAACATGTTTATAAACTTGACTACTTAAAATTCTGTGGAGTGTGGACAAAGATTTTAGCTATGGTTCAATCTTATGTATATGCTTGTATGACCTGCCAAATCTTCCTGGAAGCATAGTCTGTATTATCAGGTCTGACACTATGTGTTCATTTCATTGTCTGAGTGCATGCTGGAGACAATGTGTCCCACTGTTCTAGAACCATGAAGTTCTAAGGACTTCCATGAAAATGGATGTTCTAAATGTTTTCTTTATTGTTTCGTTATCTCTGGTGAAATATATTAAATCTGTTTTGTTGAACAGAACATGAATACAATGTGAATTATCTTCTGAAAAATCGAATACCAGGTGTGATACCATGACTTGTTCATCATTTTAGGTTCCTATCAGGAATTGATGATCTCTTCATTAAAACTCCAAATACAAGTTTCCAACTCAGAGACTTATGTGTTGGAACTGTGGAAATAAGATTTTCACATTTCTTTCCTTCTCTTCATCTCATCTTCATCAGTCTTTCCACTGGTCTCTGCCAGAAGGAACATTCATTCATCAATTCTATTTCTGATTTTTCTTTTTTCCTTTTTTTGCTTAAATAAAAAAAAAAGTTTTATTTTAGCCCAGCAGTCCGTTCTTGTGGCACTGCATTCTTAGAAATGTACCCCAGGTGATTCTGCCATCTTATGAGAGTCATAGAGTGCACTCACACAAGCTAAGCGGCTTGAGTCGCCACTGAACATGGCCCCCTGCTGCAACCAGGGTCACCATAAACACAAGTCATATGAGCCTGCGGCCTGTGGAATGGGGCGTACTGTTTTAAACTAAAAACTTTCTCACAAATGAAAGTAGTATATATTAGTGGTGAAAATAGGTTATGTTGACTAGAGAAGGCAGTGACATTTATTATAATTTTATTAAGTATATGGGCCTTTGTGTGCTGCTAGGAATCAAATGCAGGGCTCTGGACAAGTGAACTGAGCACCCTGCCACTGGGCGTATCTCCATCCTGTGCTGTTCTTTGTGGGACTGACAGTACCGCAAGCTTGCCTAGCACCACCACAAACAGAGGAGTAATGTATTGTCATAGATGGCCATGGCATCCCTGACGTATACAGTCAGTGGCCAAAGTGTTGTATTATGACCTATATTATATTTGCAACATTTGTTTTGTGTTCTTCAGAAATATTTTATGCTTAAGTGTGCAGTGCAGGGAAAAGAGAGATCTTATGGTTTTAATGAATAGAAACGAAACATCACCAACAAGTGATTACCCAACCACTTATTCTGGGCCATCCAAATGATTTAAGGTGTGTCATCAGTCATGAGGAAAAGGAACTAATCAAAGAGCAAAATGGTTTTTTTTGTCTAATATAACTGGAAAAAATGTTTGCATTTTGGGAAAGACTGGAGTCATCTCAGAATCTGTGTACTAGCTTATAAGACAGTAGAAGAATACTTTTGAGACTGGAAGGTGGAGCGCTGGGAGTGGAGGAAAGTTACCCTGGAGGAGCCTTTTACTCTAGGGAGGTTATGAGGCAGGAGCATGACTGCAGTGATAGAAAAGTTTTCAACTCAGGCATATCTCTATTAGAGCTGTGGAAATAGCTCTTCACATTTTCTCCAAAGGAACATGATGGCTGACGGCCACGCTGTGAAGCAACCCCTGCATGTCTGTGAGGCCATTCTTCCTAACAGGCTGTTCCTATCCGTGGCTGGGTATCACAAGGGTATTAAGACAGGCACACGTTAAGGACCTCAAAGACTGCCCACTTCCTTTGTCAAAGAAACTCTTATAAGTGACAGAGAATGTCTCAGATTGTCCCTACCCACCCGTCTTCCCTTCCCTCTCTATCAGTAACAGTAATCCATAGTGGTATAATGGTTGGAGGTTCACAATTCAACCATATATACTAGTAATATACATACTTAAACACATATGTATGCATGCATGTATGTATATGCATGGTGTGTGGATGTGGGTCTACTGTGCCAGGTCTAGGCCCCAGTTAGGAAAATCTGAGACTCTAGAAGGTGTGATGATATTGCTCTTGCACAGATTTCTCAGCGCACTCAGGGTTTGCATAAGTGATCTTGTTATAAAATATAATGCAGTGAGGGGTACCATGGTGGGCCCATGCCAAGGTGTGCCTCTGGGAAGGCATACCATGCAACTGATCTGGCATACAGAGGTTTATGGGGGGGGAGGTGTGAGGACCTGGAGAAGGGGTAGAGGCAGACAAGTGGACGTGTAGGCAGATAGACAGATGGGAGCAGAGCCATGAGAGCATAGAAGAGGGGTGCAGAGAAGGAGAGAAAGGGGGTGCCAAGGACAGAAAGGGGGAGAGAGAGAGAACGCCAAAAAGAGAGAGAGGGTGAGGTGGCAGGCAGTGTTTTTATACACAGAACACACCAGGGGCATCTGACAGTGGCTGCAGGTGATGGCAGCAGGTGATGACTTAAGCCGTTGCTAGGTTCCCTGAGAGGAACCTAGTGGAATCACCTATAGCTAACATGCCTCCATTTTTGTTTAATCAAAAATGAACAAGTAGGAAGGGGTGATGATGGGTCAGGAGTGAAGGTGTTATGTTCTTTAGACTACTTCCTGCTGACTCAGGGTGATGTCATCTTTGGAGACCCTAAGAAAACTGGGATACTGGTCAAGTCCTAGGAGAGCTGGTTGTTCCACTGCTGTCCAAGCTGTGGGATCATCTGGGGGTAGCAGTGTGCAGGCCCAGCTGAAGAAATCTGTGAGGTTGAGTAACTGCTTTGGAGCTGTCCTAGATGCAGATTTTGAGGAAACACATAGACTTGGCAGGAGGCTGGAAGAGAAGTTAAAGTTAAGTATAGGTTAGGGAGAAATGTTTTCCTCCGGTGTACATTTGAAACCAAAAACCAGGGAAAGAGGAAGGAATCCCACAGGTGATTGATTATAAGAGCAGTCACTTATGAGTTGAGTTTCTTTAGATAAAGGAAGAGTAAACAGTTACATCCGAAACCTGTTTGTCTTTTAGCATGAAGCCAGTGAGCAGGGCAAACCTGTTTGTCTTATTTTAAATAAGAGACCTAGTAGTTTTACCTAACTAATAAATTGACTAATAAATTTACTAATGAGCTAACACAGTGGTAGATTATCTTGGGGAAAGGAAGTAGTTGCCTGTTGTTCTTTAACTGTTGAGCTACAGTTAGCTTAGCCATAATGTGATCAGAGACCTGAGAAGGATAAATTGTAATTTAAATGCCCTATGTATCAATTAAAGTGACAGACTAGTCCATAGTCCATTACCTACACAGTTGAACCAGGTTCCTGTGGTTTCCATGGTAACACTGGCAAAGGCAGTCTGGCCATTAGGGCCAGAAGATGAGAGGCTTTTTCTGTGAAGGAGGAACAAGGGAAAGACTGGTCTTAGCTTGTCTTAGGCAACGTGGGACAATCACTGTCCAGGTGTCCTGTTTGTCCACAGTTCAGGCTGGGCGTTAACAATGGGTGAGGTATTGGGGCAGTCGTTAGTGTGCCATACTCTAGATGGAGTCCTTTGTTGTATCTGAGAGCTCCGGCCCAGCAGAAGCTTCTGTGCAGGCAGGCAGCTCTTAAAGGGGCAACCTCCCTCCGCAGTTTCTCGGCTTCTGTGATAGGAAAAATTTTGTCTGTCTGTTTTGAATATATAAGTTTACTTTGTTCTGTATGTCTCAGTTATAGATTATTATTGTTATATATGTTTAAAATCTATAACAGTTGTAAAAAACGTTAACTTAAACTTTTAACTTATGATTGGAGCCATTCTGAACAACAAATGGCATGAGCCCACTAAAAAACAAGTCTCCAAAGG